GGAGGTGGTGGAGGGGGCGGTCCCTGGGAGCGCCGAACGTGGAGCGGCGGCGGTCGAGACATGACCTCGCGCAGGTGAGCCCGGACCGTACGGTGGCCCGACGCCTCGACCCCAGGAGCTGCGCTGCGAGCCCCAAAGGGTGCCAACGGGTGGGCGAGCGCGAGATGCAACCCGGGTGGCCCCCCAGGCCTGAGGTCCTGACACCTGCCCTCCTCTACAGCCAGGGCCTTTCGGGAGAGCTAGCCTGGCCTCAGCCTTGCCGGGAGAAAAGACACTTTCTGCTCCAGAGGTTGGGCTTGGGTGGAGGGTCAGCTCCATCAGACCCCAGGGACGGTGCCCTGCAGGTGGCAGGCGGTAGTAGCAGGACAGTGGCAGCCTCTCCTTTCCTCTCCTGGGCACCTCTGGCTCCAGGTTTCCTTTTTGACCACCAGAGATACAGTCCATTGGGGAAGGCACTCCTCTTTTCCTAGGCCTGAAACCGAGGACAACAGTGTTATAGGGGCCCAGAGGTCTGGGACTTCCCACCCTGGACTTGGTCTGCCTATCTGAAAGGACCCACCTTCCTGCAACAGGCTCACCCCTCCACCAGGTGCCCTAGGGACTCAGTTTAGGGAGTGAGCTCCCTGACCACTGGGGGGCTTAGACGGACGTGGGGGGAGCTGAGATAGGCTGAAGGTTGGGCCAGCTGGCTTCCTGCCTCCATGGAGAGGGAGGTGGGAAGTGTCACAGGAACCGGGTACTTCCTGCCCTTTCTGCTGGCTCTCTGCTCCCTGGGTGTGTACACATACTCTCGGAGGCTTGGACTGCAGCATGCATGTGGAGGGAACTGCAGAGGTGTGGGCCACATGTCACCGCTACCTGGCATATCACTCAGAGCCACCTCCTCTGGGGCGTTGATGAGACTAGAGGTCACAGGAGTGACTACCCCCTTAGATAAGTGAAGGAGTAGAAAGAGTCTGATGTGTGGGGCCCACAGAGTTTCTTCCTGAGTTCAAGGTCCTTACCAAGATACGGACCCCTGATTCCCCCCCTCTCCCCAGCAGTGCTAGAGAGGCAAGGGTTCCAGGATTTTGAGGTCAGAGGGTGAGGAGGAGACAGGCAAACAGCCTGACACAGTGGCCTCCTACAGGGTCTTGGGTCTTTTCAGCTGAGGAACAGAGGAAGTGAGTTGGATGTGAAGAAGTCAGGCCAAAGCCTTGCATTCTGAGGGTTTAACACCCAGCCGGAACCCAGGAAGGAGGAGGTTACCTATGTACTGTCCATTTTGGGAACTGGTTGAAATGACCTCCAGGGTCTCCAGCTTCACTCTTGTCCCCTGGGCAAAATGCCGGCACTCAGAAAGGGTCATGTACATGGCATCTGTGCCTGACCCAGCCTGGGAAAGCCCCGGGTTGGGTTCTGCCCCACCCTGCCACCCCCTCCCTACCCCTCCTGTGAGGGACATCTGGACTGTCATTCCTCTGGCCCCTGCCCACACCCCTATCAGGCCTGGGCAGGCCCAACCAAATCCCAGAGTAGAGCCCATCCCCCTGTCCCCAGTCCCCCCTTTGTGGTTTGTGGGTCAACGGGCACCTCTGTAAGTGTTGCTTGTCTCTGAGTCTCCAGTACCGCAGGCAAGGCTGGGTACAAGCCTTGCCTAGCTCTGAGAGGAGGTAGAGTCCCACAGGTGCTTGGCTTTCTGAGCCTCCTTAGACTCCCCCTCCATTCCAGGAGTCAGTGAGGGAAATGTCTCTGGGTGATTCCATTCTATGTAGTGAGGATTGGCCCTGGTTGGGGGATTCCTCTGTGGCCAGGTCCAGGTAAGAAGAAAGGGAAGGGCACTTCCTGTGCTCTGGGGTCTCAGTGCTGATTTTCCAACCTGGGACTCTTCCCTGGCTCGTATGTCTCCCACCATCATGACAAGTGTTGGGTCCCTGTATTATGTGTGTGTAAATGCGTTGACAAGCCTTTTATGTGTTCCCCAACCCACACTCCTATTGGAGTAAGATCGCAGGGTCCCAGAGTTGGAGCCATCCCATTTACAGATGGGACACGAAGTCTACATAGAGAGCTAGACCAACCAGTGGCTGGTCCGTGTTGGTGCCAACCTCTCGGGTTGCCTCAACTATCCCTGGACTCCTGAACACTGATACAATTAGACCTGTCCAGGGACCTTGGGGCCTGCACCCTAGAATGACCTTCTCCCATGGTCCCCCAATCCTCTGGGGCCTGCCTGACCATGTCACTAAGACAGAGCTGAGTCACTGACCCACCGTGGAGCTAGGGAGCCCTTTGGCAGAGAGGTCACCCAGAACCTACAAACTGCACCCAGCCTTGCTAAGCCCATTCTTGCTGTGGTAAAGGAAGTAGGAGTTGAAGATGGGGACCGTAGCCTCCTCTCCTTCTCCCACCCAGCTCCTTTAGGCTCAGCAAGCTCCAGTGACCTGCTGGGCCCAGTAGCGGGTGCATGAGGCTCTGCCCTAGCCTGGGATTGTGGGGGGCCAGCAGGGAGTAGGGAAGCTGGTGGTGTAAGCTGCTGTAACCCTCAGGAGGCCCCACCCCTGGAGATTTCCATCTGATAGACTCAGTGGCAGCTTATTGGGAGGAGGAGGACGGAAAGTATGATTGAGAGGCCCCAGAAGGACAAGCATGGTGCTCTTTACCCTCTGTGGCTTTGATGCAGGTCTCCACCCTTTACTCCTGCCCCCACACTCTGGGCATTGCCCATCTTGGGCTAGAGGTTGTGGCTGCTTGGGCTCGGGGAGGGGGCACCTGAGTGCAGGATGTGGTTCAGCTAGTGGGCGGCCCAGGCAGGGGTCGGAAGCCTCCTCTGAGTCCTAATCCCTTCCCCCTCTGTGGCATCACCGTGCGGGTCTAGGGTCTCCAGAGGCCATGTCCCTTTTCCTGGTGGCCTCTCCTGCTCTCTTGACATTGACCCTGGAGGTCACTATGTGGCAAATCCTCCTCCAGGAAGCCTTCCCTGGCAGCCTCACCCACTGGACCTCTGGACCAGTCATTGAGGGTTGCTCCTGCATCTGTCTCCCCTATGGAACCAGTGTGGGAGGGAGCTCTGGGTACCAAGCCCAAAGTGTGCCTAGGAAGTACCTCGCGGATAGACTTCCTCCTTCTCCACAGGGAGGGTGTAGTCAGGAGTGTAGCTCATTTCTGATTGGCCCTGGATAGGTCCTCTGAGTTCCTGAGCGTCTCTGAACCCTGAAGAGTTGTGGAGGTCACAACAGAGCCTGTCTTGTCGGATTTACATTTCATGGTGACAAATGCAAAAATCTGTCCCTAACAAATGCCATAGGGGACAGTGGGACTGGCAGGTGGCGTGGTGGTTAAGGACGCTGGACTCCCACATGGCTGACCATGGTTCGAGTCCCCCACCTCTTGGCTTGCTTTCTCACTTTCTCTCCCCCCACCACCCCTGGACAAACTAAAATAAGTAAATAAATATAAGTTAAATGAAATCATTCTTTTTTAAAAATTTTATTTAACTCTATTTATTATTATTATTATCATTATTATTTTTCAGTTTGATCAGAGAGAGAGAGAGAGGAAGTGAGAAAGCAAGCAACCAGGTCTGAGACTTGAACCGTGGTAGGCCATGTGGGAGTCCAGCGCCTTTAACCACCATGCCACTTGCCAGCTCCGAAATAATTCTTAAAAAAAAAAAAAAAGAAAGAAGAAGAAGAAGAGGTAGGGGACAATGAGGCCAGCAGGTAGCATGGTGGTTAAGGTCCTGGGCTCCCACATGGCCGAATAGGGTTTGAATCCCAGACCTGGGCTGAAAAACACATCAGGTATGTGTGCGTGAGTGCTCAACATCCTGAGAGGAGAACGGAGGAGAAGGGACTGCTGCGTGGCCATCTCCCCCTCATTGTCTCTCTCCAGCAAGTGCATGTACCCTATGGCAAAAACCTTAAAATGAAAAAATAAAGTAGGAGACAGTGAAGAGGCTGTGACAAGAGAGAGCCTTTTTTTTTTTTAAATAATTATTTTATTCAACTTTTTCTTCTTTTTTCTCTCTTTTAATTTGAACAGAGAGGGACAGAGTGAGAGTGAGTGAATGAGAGAGAGAGAGCAAGCCGCCAGGTCCAGTACTCGAACCACAGTCAGCCATATGGGAGTCCAGTGCCCTTAACCACCACATCACCTGCGAGCCCCCAAGAGAGACCCTCTTAGGAGAGATGAACTGTGCCCCATCGGAACAGGCCTGAGGTGGCCAGCAGGGCTGCTATCAATAGAATTTTTGTGTGTCCTTCTGAGAGCCATAGAATGATGAGTTGTAAGCAGCTCTGCACATTTCCTGAGAATCCCTCTGTCTGCCATGGCTTGACTGTGGGGTCAGAGTGGGGGGCAGAGCTGATGGACACTGGCCTCAGGGCAGGGAAAGAAGGGGTTCTGTGCATGTTCTGAAGGTAGGATGAGAAGGTGCTGTTCAAGTATGTGTCAAGCAGTGGCAGGTGGGGGCCTAGGCAGCAGGGTGAATGGCGGCATCCTTCCTTGAGTGAAGAAGATATGGAAGAACAAGGGCTTGGGGAGCATTATCAGGAGTTTTCAGTTTTGCAAATGTTAAGAAAGTGATGCCGTTATCTTTTCTTTCTTTTTAAAAATTGGTTAGAGGGGGACGAGCAGTTGGTGTAATAGTGATGTTGCTGGACTCCCATGTAGTCGACCACAGTTCGAGTCCCGGACCCAGTGGCTTAAACTCACGCCGGGCGCATGTGCGTGTGTGCTCAAGATCTCGAGAGGAGAATGGAAGAGAAAGGATTGCGGCGTGGCCATCCCCCTGGGGCGTGATATCTCGCTTTCTTTCTCTCTGTCTCTCTCTGTCTTTCTGGTGAGCACACGCGCCCTATAGCAAAAAAAAAAAAAAAAAAAAAAAAAACCTCTAAAAAAAATTGGTTAGAGGGAACATGTGCTCATGGGAAAGAGTCGAGAAGGGGGAGAAAGCACTCTCCAGGGGAGATACTTTCAGGTCATGCTGCCATCCCCTCTCCATTCTCCTCCAGGATTATGGGCACTCGTGCACACATACCTAGTGTGCTTTTCAAGCCACAGGGCCCAGGACTCAAACCCTGCAGTCAGCCATGTGGGTTCTAGCTGTCTAACCACCAATGCCACTGGCTGGCCCGATGCTGTTATCTTTTAAACAGAGATACCGAGATGTTTCAGTCCATTGTGTTGTGAAATACCCGAGTCTGGGTGACTTGTTTATTTAACTCATGGTTTTGGAGGCTCAGCAGTCAAAGAGCTGAGTCTGATGAGGGTCTTGTTGCAGAGCCTCGAGGTGGCACAGGGCATCGCATGGCAAGATCTTGAGCAGAGCATGTCTGTGCCATGTCTGTGTCTCCATATGAACTGGTGAGTATCCAGTCGTGAGGATCCCACCCTGGTGATCAGCTCCCAAAGGCCCCGCCTTTCAACACTATGGTTGGTTACATTTTTACACTCTATTCCCATCACAAGCAGAAACAAATCTCAACGTGTTAATTGGGGGTGGGGGGGAGGACACACTCAAACCATAGCAGAGAGATATCTGAGTGTGAAGCTCAGTGTGGAGTGGGGACAGGGTAGAGGGTGGGTGGATGACCCGGAACGGCAACACTGGGTGAGATTTCGTGCAGACAGATGAGTCGGGGCCTTGGAGGCTCCCACATCAAAGAGTCAGAAAGAAGAGGAGAAGGGCCCAGCAAAAGACTCTGGCCAGGGAGGGTGGACAGCAAGGGAAGTGTGGTCTCCCGAGGCTGACTGGAGCAAGCACCTCTGCAAGGAGGGAGATCCAACCATATCTGAGAACCGAGGCTGGAGCTCGGCCTCGACCTTGGGGAAGACTCTAACAACCACAGTCTTCTGGCACTGGAGGAGAAGGGGAAACAGGTCTGGGAGGACTGGAGAGGGGGTAGGGGAACACACCAGTGGTCAAGAGGGCTTCCTGTGATGACATGCTCCCTACCTACACTTCCCATGGTCACCACTGCCGCACCTGCTGCTCAGCAGTGGAGTGTGACTGCAGACCTGAAGTTTTGCTTCTGTTGGATTTTAACTTACATTTACTCACTGTACAGCTGTTGCTGCCGTATCGGACAGAAGCGGTGGGAGCTGAAAGTGGCAAAGGGAGCTGTGAAGGAAGAGAAGGGCCTTGAACAGGCCAGGGCAGAGAATGGCAGAGCCTGGTGGTGGGGCAGGGGCGTGGGGGTGCCCCAGAAAGACCAGCCAGGGCCTGTCGGTTGTTGCTGACAAGGGAAGCTCTGGGCTCAGTTCTCAGGGAGATGAGAAACAGCTACTGAGGCCTTTAACAGGGAGAACAGGGAGATTGGTATCTGATTTTCTGTAAAAATCCATGGCCACCCTTGGAGGGGGCAGGATCATCCTTGTCCTTGCTCCCAAGCTCTTGGGTCAACCTTGGGGGCAGGATCCACAAGGGCACAGCAGCCCTAGATGGAGGTGTGGGTAGGCTTTCGAGGGCATCAGTGTGGGCTGTCGAGGCAGTGGCGTTGGGGGCTTCCATGCAGAGCCCTGGGCATGTTCCCCTGGGTGTCTCCTGGACTGCTGTGGGAGGGAGAGGCCTCAGAACAAAAAGTCCGGGAGACGCACTGCTGCCTTGGTAGACCAGTTACCGTGTTACTACAGAGTCGCTCAAAGGGCAGCAGGTTAAGGGAGTCCATCCCTCCACTGTCCCTCACTTGTTCACTCCCTCATTTGTGCTTCTCTTTTTGCTAACATTCTGAGAGGCTCTCAGGCTATCACATGAGTAAAATGTAATCCGGAGCTTAGAAATTCCTGCCCTAATTGGGGAGCTATCCTGGGACAAAAACCACTGAGGTAAAGCAAAGCACTGCTGGCTGCAAATGAGGGCTCGTCCCTGGTTTGTCTCTCCTGAGAGCTGCAGCTGCCCCCATCACAGCAGGGAGGCTGCAACCAGGACAGTCTTGCAGGGCCCAGGCAAGAGAGGGTGGAGGAGGAGCCTCGAGCCCCTCATCATCCTTCACTGGCATCTGCCTTTGCATTGGACCCCAGGCAGCAGGACAGACTGAGCTCCTCAGCATGAGGCCTCTCTGACCTGTTCCTGCTGGCCACCCTGGTCCTGCCTCTGGGTACAGTCCATCCATCCTTCTGTTCACCCCCCTAAATATTGGTCCCTCCACCACCCACCATCGCCTACCCTTCTGTACACGCGCCTTTCCACGCACCCTCCGTCCACGACGTAGTCATTCCCTTCTTGCTTCAAATGTGTTTACGAATTCCCAGGCACTGCCTTTGGCTCTGGGATACACCAGTGCACAGAACTGCTTCTGCCCCTGTGGAGCTCAAGACCCTGAGTGGGGGACAGTCCAAATATTAATAGATATATACTGTATGCCAGTGTGGCGATAAACACTGTGAAGAAGAATAAAGCAGGATAAGGGAGCAGAGGGTGGGAGAGATGAGAGGGGCCCTGACGAATCAGTTTGGGCAGCTATAACAAATGACCACAGGCTGGGTAGACACTTATTTCTCACAGTTCTGAAGGCTGGCTGGAAGTCCACGGTCAAGGAGCTGGGCACGCACTCTTGCTCTGGGCTAGCGGTTAACACAATGAGATGGGGTCCTTCTGGCTGCCCTGGGGGAGAGGAAGATGGCCTGAGTTGGGGGGCACTGGCTTGCTGATAGGCCAGGAGTGGGGTGTGTGGGGAAGAAGGAACACAGATGACTCAGGGCAGAGTCCCTGACCCCTGAGAGAGACCAGATTCAGAGAGCGTGAGCTGAGGCTCCTGATGAGATTGTGTAGAGACGATGGAGGGCGTGTGTCTTACCTGCCCGTCCCCGTCCCTGGGACCCCCACAACCCTTGCCTCTCAGACTCTTGGTCAATGCCCATCATAAGCTTCAAGCACAGGGTGGCCCCAAACAGACATCGGAGTGACAATGACAGAGGTCAGATGAGGCAGGACTCCTGTGGGCTCACCAGCTTGCTATTCCCGTTCCAGGTGGTTTCACCCCAACATCAGTGGGATTGAAGCAGAGAAGCTGCTCCTCTCCAGGGGCCAGCACGGGAGCTTCCTGGCTAGACCCAGCAAGAGCAGCCCCGGGGGCTTCACGCTGTCTGTCAGGTGGGTGGGCCCCTGGCCAGGTGTGGACCTCTGGCCCAAGGATGCCTCAAGGGGTCTCCTCACTTTCAGTTTGGGACACAGAGGATTCAGACTCCCAGAGGGGTAGTGGGCAGTGTTCTGGGCAGTGAGGCTCCTAGCCGGGGGAAGCCAACATGTTGGGGAGAGTGGGTGGTAGTTGGGCATTCATGCTCTGGACCTCCGGACAGGAAGGACCCACCGAGAGAGGCCTTTGGGGAGGACTCAGTGAGCCGAGGGCATTGGCAGGATCCACTGCCTGCCCTCCAAGGGCCTAAGGGCCAGGCAGGAACCTCAATGGCCATGATTATGCTCCCAGCACCTAGGGATGCTGCCCACTGGGGGTCTGGCTGGAGTCTTAAAAGGGCCATTACTTGGGAGGATGGGGTTTGAGAGGGACTGGAACAGCTGAGTGTACAGCTTGGAGGCATGTCTGCCCTGGATGGGAGGGGCCAGTCTGTGAGGATAAGTGCTGGTCTAGGAAGAGGAACGTCCAGCTGGGCTCTAGATCTTTCCAAATTCTCTCCTAAATCTGAGGCACAGGTATACCAAGGCTAGCCCCCCGGGATGGACTTCTCTCACTTTAGAGAGACAAGTGTTTTCCTGGGGCTTCCCCAGCCATGCTGTGGGACCTGGGGAAGCTGTCTTGCATGTGTATGGTCAGGGGCCTGTCCCTGGTTGGAACTACAGGGCTGGTAGTCTGGGATGAGGCAAAGCCTTGGAGGGGTGCATGAGCCCTGATCTTCAGGCCAAGGGAGGCCCAGGGTCCATAGGCTCAGTACAGTGGGTCAGGATGAGGGTAGGTGTGGGTGGGTAGGTACTGTCTGGAAAGGAGCTGCAGAGAGGGGCCTGGCCTAGGCCCTGACTGTTCCTGGCAAGGGAACAACAGGGGCTGGGACCTCAGCACAGGAAAAGCCCAGGGACTGTTCCGGAAGCTGAGGGTGGATGGTGGGGCCCGGCTCCCTCCCTTCCAGGCGCCATGAGGAGGTGACCCACATCAAGATCCAGAATACTGGTGACTACTACGATCTGTACGGAGGGGAGAAGTTTGCAACGCTGGCTGAGCTGGTGCAGCACTACACAGGCCAGCGTGGGGGGCTGCTCCGAGAGCGCAGTGGGGCTCCTGTTGAGCTCCGGCACCCACTGGGCTGCCAGGACCCCACATCAGAGCGGTGAGCCCTGGCCTGGCATTTGTGAGTCTGTCTGGATGTATGTGTACATCTCTGAGGGACAGTGTCCACTGGACATGGCTTCTGCATGTCATGGCCCCTGTATGTCATGGCCCCATGGCCCAGGCTCAGGCCTGGGCACAGCTACAGCAAAGCTGAGGGTGCGTCCTGTACTGCTCCTTCCGGCCCTGATGGAGGGGTGAGAGCATAGGGCAGCTGGAGGCCTGCAGTCCCACCTCTGCCCTCCTAGTAATGACCTGGTTTCTCTAGTCTGTTTCCCCACCACAGGGAACTGCATGTGGAGAGGCCTTTGCTTCTTCTTGCTGAGAACCAAGCTGCCACCTAGTGGCCACTATGGGCCCTGCAGAGCCCTCTTGTCCTGCGTTTGGCCAGCTCCTGGATTAGAGGAACATCAGAGAAGTGGTCCTGGCAGATCCAGGGCTGGACCGGATAGGGATGCTGCCTAGGCCCCTGAGATCTGCATGTGTCCGTCTCTCTGCCTGAGCCTTCTGCTTCACATAGCTCCTTTTCTCACCACTCCTGGACCAGGTGGTACCATGGGCACCTATCAGGCAAGGAGGCAGAGAAGCTGCTGATGGAGAAGGGGCGTCTGGGCAGCTTCCTGGTGCGAGAGAGTCAGAGCAAACCTGGGGACTTTGTGCTGTCAGCGCTGACTCAGGAGCCCAACAAGGCACAGGGCACAGACCACCGGCCTCGGCCCACGCACATCATGATCCGCTTCCAGGTGGGAGGCAGCATCGGGGTGAGGGTGTGACTCTGGGAAGGGTGGTCTGCCATGGCCAGCCCCTCACTGCCGCCCCCACAGCCAGATGGGAAGTATGACGTGGGAGGTGGGGAGCGGTTCGACACTCTCAGAGACCTGGTTGAGCACTACAAGAAGAACCCCATGGTGGAGAAGTCGGGGGCCGTTGTACACCTCAAACAGGTATGTTCCTATAAGCACGTGTACCCTGGAACCGGAGTGGGTTTTCCTGTGGGGGGACGGAAGGGATACTGACCCAGCCCCATCCAGGAAAGACAAGGTGGGGGTGTAGGCTGGCATCAGGTGAGACTTCCTGTGAGGAGAGCCCCAGAGCCCCATGGAGAGAACCTCCAAGCACCCTCTGTGTGTTGGACTCTCCTGTGGTGACCTCGGTGACCTTCCCCAGATAAGGTGCTGGGCTTAGGGCAGGGTGGCCAAGTGGAAGGGTGTGCCGGCCATGGCACCTGCCAGTGGGGGAGGGCACTGTGGGATCCACTGCATCCCAGGCCCTTCTGAGCTAACCTCTCCCTGTCAGCCTCTCAAGGCCACGAGGATTAACGCTGACAGCATTGAAAGCCGCGTGCAGGAGCTCGCCCAGGCTGCGGACACCAGCGGAAAAGCCACACAGGGCTTCTGGGAGGAGTTTGAGGTGCCTTCTGCCTGCTGCCACCCTCACACTCAGACCTCTGGGGCACGAGCCCAAGAGGAGTCAGAGAGGGGGAGGGTTCTTGGTGGGAGTGGGGACCCCCAGAGGCTGAAGCCCCCATCTCTTCAGATGCTACA